AGGGAACGACTGTTATTTCTGTAAGAGTTACCATGATGTGACCATTTAAATCTCATTTATGCACATGAGCGTAATATTACCTGTACGGTAATCCCGGTCTCTATGTCAGTTAACTTTACAACTTTGTCATATCCCCCGGAAAGTATACTGTTACGAAAATTATCCCATCTTATATCTTTTACGGCTCCTACAACATTAGCAAGTTAATTAGGATGGTAAAAAAACGAAACTAATCTTGGTTTTCATATCATAAGTAATAAAAGTTCAAAATTACCATCGTGATTGATGATTCGAACACACTTTTTGGACCTAAAAACATCCCAAATTCCGACAGTACCATCCATTGATGCCGAAGCCAATACCTGTCCTTGATAACCGAATTTAATCAAAATCATTTTTGCCTAAAGATGAAACAATGTGATGGTACTTACCAAAAGAACCGCACCACAATAGTGTATTCACCCCTTTGGTGTGTTCCTTTTGAAGAAAAATTATGCACTTCTTGGGAATTATGCCAGACTGCGTTTCATCTTTGCTTTCGTTCAAAGCAGACTCGATACGGTTCGGCAGATCAAGTAACTTTGTATCAGATGGCAATACACTTTGCACTAAAAAAACAAAATGAACGGTTAAATACAAATCAAGCGTACGTGAGGTTTTAACAAATTCTCACCAGGAAACAATTGATTCATTTGCTGTATTTCTAAATTTGTTTCGTTGGCTTGCTGTAACTTTACTCGTTTCGATATGTATCCTTTGACCTTTTTATTAACTTTATCGCTATTCCCTCGCTTATTTGAGTGCGAAATGTTATCAAACATAAAAATAGGCGTTCTAAAAACTCGCTCCGATGGCCCGCACGACGTGCTGACACCAATGGTGTCCAATCTCGTTCCATCGATCTGAATTTGCTGCTCTTTCTTTCGCTCAGCCAAATTCACGTCAGAAACGTCTTCAGTTTGTATCCTGGGAATATTTTCATTTGGAAATTCTGTTAATTCTCCGGCTGATTCGTTATCACTTGTGTCGCTTTGATACTGAACGATGTCCTCCATTCAACAAACGCAGGCCAAACAAGCCGTCTCGTACATTTATACCACATAAAAAAATCATGTGACCGATAGATGGTTCGGATTCGTGCTACCGGTGATCATGAATTTGTCGCACAATAACCGGTAGCACAAATTTTGTGTCGTGTAATTCCGCTAGAATTTATGCTATCGGAAATATTGCCGATAACAATTTTGTTTATTGTTTGGTAGCACCACAGTTCTTGCATATTTTTTAAAACCCTTATCTGTAGGCCGGCACTACACGAATTTGGAAGTCCAAATTTTAATCTCGGCAAAAATGTCACGTGTCAAGAGAATTGTACAAAAAATGAAATTACCCCCAAGCATTCAAATAAAATACAGATCCAGCTGTTCATTACCTCTCATTGGGGTCTCTTTGTTTTCCATTCAAAAAATTTTGTATTCCAGAGGGCAAAAATTTGAGACGTTTCGGTCCGCAATGGTGAACAAGGCTATCAAGAATATTGTAGACCAAAATAGAGTCTCAAGTTTGTTTCGTGATACTTTCACAGGTGAGGTTCTTTTACTTGTAAACCTTGAGAGCTACTTCCTCTAACCGAATTGCTACCAGGACCAACATGTCTATATCATTGGTTAAGTACCAAGAGACCTGTAAGTCAATGTTGTTACCTATTTAATCCAGTTTTCACATCAATTCGAGATAGTTTTGATGAACAAGCTTTCATGTGAGAACTTAAAAAGTCTTGTTTTCCTATAGCCACGGTTTCTCCGGAGAAACCTATCGTACATGCAACAAACCCCGAAAAGAGTCACAAAGAAGCAAAAGACGACTCAGAGAAATAAGCGCATCACACTTGAGGAATTATTTAGGCGTCGAGAAAGAGAGGAAGAACTGCTTTCCACCAGGTTTGCACTTGATTTAATTGATTTGCATGATTCCTGAGTTGCACATATACTTTACTAATTTTATATTATTTTCCCTAATCTCATCACAAGTCGAACCAAACGTTCCCTCCAATTGACCTTTGAGGGATTGGTCGTACACGGTTGATTTTTTCACTTG